GAGGGTTTAGATTAGGTAATATCTTTATATATCATATCAAAAGGTCAAAGAAGCAGCACTGTATAATAATCTCAATAAATGCCCAAAAGGCATTTGATGAATTTCAATACCCATTTCTCATAGAACAGCAAATAATGTCTTGGTCAACTACAAATAATACATTCTTAACATCAAAGAACTGTAAGAGTAAATGATGCTTATCATTGCTATTATTTATAAAATCAGAAGGAATATCTGTTAAATGTAATAAAATAAAGAGAATGAGGAAGATATACAGGATAAACTTTACCCAGAAGAATCAAAACTAACAACTGAAAAACTAGGATTAAACAAAGTTCAGGAAATATAAAATTTGCAATAAATTCATAAATAAAATAAATTTTCACATTTAATGCCGTGTGAATCAAAATTCTTTTAAGGTTTCCTTTTTTAAAGTTAGAAAGGTGATTCCAAAAATTCATATGAAAAAATTAACTGGTCTGAAAATAAACTCCAGGAAAATTTTGAAAAAGAGGACTAATAAGGGAAGACTGGTCCTATCAGCACTTAAACATTTAATAGCTAAAATGCTTAAAAATGGTATAGTATTGGAGTAAGAACAGAAAATATAAAGGAAGAAAATTGAGTCCAGAAGGCCTTACTAATATAAAAATATTATAGATTAGTGTTAAGAGAAAAAAATTATTCAATAAACAAGACACCATTTGGAAAAAATTAAAATCAGTGCCTTACCTTACGACATATACCAAAATACATATGAGAGGGACTAAAAGGTTATATGTGAAAAATGAAATAAGAATATCTAGAAAAAATACATGTGAGTATTTAGTTGCTAGTGGCATGGGGAAGCTCTGTCTGAGTATAATAGCAATGTGACAAGCTACAAAGAAAGTGGATAGATCAGACTACTTAAAAAAATTAACTAAAATTTCAATAATAAAGAGCAATCTTGAAAAAAATTTACATTTTAATAGAGTTAATATCCTATATATATAAAGGTTCAATAACCAGCAATCCCAATTCTGATAATCTACACTAAATTATATAGCCAAGAATGTTCACTGCAGTGTTATTTGCAACAGTTCCCCCATTCAAGAATTGTGTAAACAGTGGGGCCAAATTTGGTTAAACAGTAACAAGAATATACATGGGAAAAGAAGGCAGTAGAAAAAAATAAAAAGAAATAAACTAGAGTGGTTACTTTTAGACAGATTACTGGTGGTGTTTTTCTTTTTTATACATGTATAACTATCTGTCAAAACTTTCATGATGAATACATATTACTTTTACAACCAGAAAAATATAAAAAAACACATTAAGGAACATTTTCATAAATACATGATTATCAGAATTCAAAAGTTTCAACAAATGTGAAAGTTCACAATGGTTTGTAAATTAAACTATCTTTGCGTGCTGAAAGCCCCTTAAACATTTCTGGTTCTATTAATCTTAACTTAGCATGAAAATACAGTTAAAAAAAAGCCATACTGTCTTAGATTACATTTTCATTCCTTCTCTCAAAGGGATTTTGATTTTAATGACTATTAAAAGGATTGATTTTCACAAATACATCTAAACATCACTGCAATAAATTATACAAGGGTCCATATGCAATAGAATAGCTTACAATAAAGGTTTATTTCATATTAATAACACTTTTTTCAGTGAATATTTAGAATAGAACCAATTTAAGACTGGTCATTTTCTATATTAAGTTTTTACTCAGGAAACCTCTTTAAGGCACTCCAAATAGGAAGACGACTAGCCTAAAAGCCTTTAGAAAAAACAAAAATTCTTTAAAAATCTTAATGGACAGGAAGTATTATTTTGTGCCTAACTGAAATCTCTCCTGTGATTTAAAACTCTTGTTCTTTAAAAAAATATAAAGCTAGACTGCATTTTGCTTTCTTTAGACAACATAATTAAAAAACTTTTAACTAGCTATTTCCTAATACTTTGGTTTACTTGTCTGTCTGTAGTCTTTTAATATTTTTCTTATCTCTCAAGTTATTTAACCCCATATGGCAAATTATGGTTTCAGGCAATGCACAATCAAATGAGAGAAGAGCTTAGAGCTCCTACACGTATAATTCTGTAGAAATACAAACATACCTTCCTTCTTGGCACACGTTGCGCTGCTATTACATGTTACTGTGCTTGTCTCTTACCACACTCATATTATTTGTATGCATGTATACTAATTGTATGTAAACCAATTCATACTTTGAGCAGCTTTTTTATTCACACTAAGTGGAAGTCCTAGTCAACTTTATTTGTAACTACTTGCCCAACCTTTTCCACTCACTCAGTTTGACATCACTCAAATTTAACAATTTCGCCTTCTCATCTATTATGAAACACTCATGAAATGTGAGTTCTAGCCTTATAACCATCCCTAACTAGTTTTGTGACACTGGAAGAGTCCCTAACTTCTCCAGGTTTCAATGTTTCCCTCTATAAAACGGGGATGGAACTGTACTAGAAGACTAAAAAGTCTTTTACACGCTGACATTTTATTATCAATGCCACGGATCAGATTCTATTCTAATTACTCTTAATATTAAATTACTGCTTACTATGTGGAAACACTGTGGGGAATACAACAGTAAATAAAGTATATTCTTAGTGCAATGTTTTTTGAACTAAAATACCCAGACTTAGGTATACTTATACTATAGTACTATACTGATTATAAATAGAAAATCATTAGCATAATTCTTTCAAATTCTGTGAACAGAACTGGTATTTCTTCCCTAGCCACATTATCAGAAATTTCCCTTGCCTATACTTCCTTTTTAGACTCTAGTCTAAGTCACGTCCTTTTGTCTCTCTTGCTCTCTGATGAACTGCAAACGAACTGTTCAACTGCAGAGCCTCCACTCCTCGCCCCAAAATGAGGTTCTGTTTTGGTTCTATTTTGTTTAGGAAAAATCTTTAACTTTTCTTAGTGAAAAAAAATTATAAGGATTTATGGGAATCTTATAAAATGATTTAATAAAAATTCAGAAAAATATAACCAAGTCTTGCCCAAGGCAAGACACTTTTAAAAACATAAGGACTGCTATAACGGGCCAGACTCACACTTTCACAAACAGAGGGTCCTGTCTCTCATGGTGAGGCAAAGGGCTGTGCAGTGGAAGGACATCACTTCACAAATATATGAATATCCCAGGTTCCCTTATTAATTTATTACGGAAATGTGATACATTAATTTGTCCAATTTGCCGTTTGGGAAGCTAGTGAGTTATCCGTGGATAACTAGTTCCTCAACATTTCCTATGTCAGACAATTTTTAGAAATTTTAGGGCTAAAAGAAACCTCACACCTTTTCAATTGCCTCATTTTATAGATGACAGGACTGACAAAAAGAGTAGTTAAAACTCTTGTCCAGGTCACTCAAGTTTAAGAAAGAATCTACTCTCTCGATCCTCAATCCAAGGATATATTTCTTCAATATATCACACATTTATCTGATACTAATAACCTTTGAATGAATTCAAATTTGCTTTTTTGCCATTTCATAGGGTTATCTCTATTTTAATTAACTTGACTTTAGTGAAGAATTCATGCTTACTGTAAATATATATATTCTTGACAAGGGCCAGGGCTGTGTCTCATTCACTGAATCCTCAGAATTTATTTATAGGGTCTGGCACATAAGCAGGTATTCCATAGACTGTTGTAGACTGAGCGAATGAACTTTATAGACTTGGCTCACATGCATTCTTAGCTTTAATTTTCTTAAAGAGAAAAAACGTAAAGCTCTTTAGTTCAACTTTGTTCCTTTGATCATTCCTGACATTTTTCTCTAGACTTTCTCCAGCTCCATTATGTTTTTTTTGTTTTTTTTTTTTTAGGAAGATTAGCCCTCAGCTAACATCTGCTGCCAATCCTCCTCTTTTTGCTGAGGAAGACTGGCCCTGAGCTAACATCCGTGCCCGTCTTCCTCTACTTTATATGTGGGACACCTGCCACAGTGTGGCTTAATAAGCGGTGCAAAGGTCCACACCCAGGATCCCAACTGGTGAACCTCAGGCCACTGAAGCAGAATGTGTGAACTTAATTGCTGCGCCACACGGCCAGCCCCTATGTTTCTTAAGGTGAGGAAATGAGAATTTTGAATGAGGGTAGAAAGTTTTCTTTCTAGATACCAATAATCTTCCCAGTAAGTGTAGTTCCCTTGCACCACCTTATTCTGGTTAACAACAGTACTTACTTAACACTTTTCTTTCAAACTGTATAAGTACAACACATTAATGTTTGTTGGTTTGACATTTCAACACCCAGAAAATATGGATTTTATTTATTCTGCCAGAATAAAGTCCCTCTTCCAAATCAATTATAAAAATGTTAAACAAGACTAGATTTAGCATGTATTAACTTTTCTCTATCCAGAATGGTCCATTAGACTCTATAGTTTCACTTCCTGTGTTTAAATAAATTATCTGTATAATCAAAATTATTTGAGTGTCTAATATGTGCAAGCCACTGAACTTCCTCGTCATGAGTAAGTAACTCATACCATTCCAGAAACTGATCTTTTTTTTGGTTGGTATGGAGAAGGATTAGAAAAGTTTTGGATCCATGAAAAAGACCTTTAGGAAGTATAAATAAAAAACATGTTTTAGTTTTTCCTTATGCATTGACTTATTTATTGCCTTCCACTGTCCTTTTAACCCCAGATATACCCTTCCTGTCATTCTTAAGAACTCTACCAAAATCCTTTTATTTATCAATCCTATGTCTTTGTCCCTCTATCCTCAGACAACCCTCCTATCATCTAGAAGAACCTTAGAGAAATTCTTTTATTCAGTAATCCTGTCCTTTATTACATACGCTATCAGAGAAGTTGAGAGATGGAAGGAATCTTAGAGATTCCAAGTTAAACTCCGATATACCAGCATGATATTCATCAATACTAAAACAAATAACTGTAGCCAAGTATAGTACTTAACCTGTTTAATACGTCAGCATGCTTGACGTATACACATAATACTTACTTGTACTCATCATAGACTTCCTGTTTTGGCAGTGAAGTCTCAGGATGCTCCTCTAGGGTATTCCGAATCCAGGAAAAGGCATGCATTTGCTGTGCCCGACTAGATGACATGGCGTTCTGATCACTAATCATAAAACAAAAACATGTTTTAGCTGAACTAGACAGCAATTCTTTGATAATTTTTGAGCCAGGACTAAATGTTCCACTACAGAACTGTATGTGAACGCATTATAAACGACTAAACCAGACTCAGTACATACATCAGATGCCCAGTTATCTATGTACCAATTGTCTACCTGTGGTTGTGAGCCATTTTCTACAGCTAGTATCCGACTGCAGTTACTGCTCTGTTCTATCCCTCTCCATGGTCTGTCTCTAAGGCGGCAGAGGTGATGGTGCACCGAAAACATAAGGTATTTGTTTTGGCCAAAATTATCTCTAAGTGGATATCTGCTCACTCACTTGCTTGTTCACTGGCCTAAATTTAACAAATCATCAAACTTTTAAAATAAAAGTCATCAAAAAATTTGTTTATTTTCTATTTGCTTAGCAACCTCAAGTAACTACCCCAAAATCTTACTAAAACACTCTGTCCTCCAGAATGGAATTCACACTAGAGAGATCTTGAGAGGATGAATCTCCCCTTATAATCTTTCCTGTAACTGGGTCCCCTCCCCAGGCAAAAAAGATCCTAAGTTTTTATTATATGGCAGTGTCATTTATAAACCAATTCCATGAAATGAAACCCAAGATAGCATGAGGGAAGCTCCCTTATTGATTCTGACATTCACCTCAGCTAATAGCATAACAATTTACAATAATTCCAAAGAAGATACGGAGCAAGTTTCTAGAAAGGACAGAAAATGATTAAAATAGTAATAAAATTTGGTTGGAGGGAGAAAAGATAAAAGCAACACAATTTTCATTCCATTTCTTTTTATACACAATTTTAAAGCAATAGAATGTTAAGTATAACATATGAATGAAATGAATTTTGAGAAATACTTACAAGGGTGAAGAAATGCCTTTAAGAATAGAATGTATGAACAACTTCCCTCTATACTTTCTAGATGAGACTATTAAATATTTTTAATAATAAAAATATAGTAATACCCAAAAGCACCTAAAACGTCTTATATTTATCATAAATTTATGTTCCATACAGGCAATTTCACTTTTTTTCTTTTTTATATTCTGTCATCTTCCTTCCTGACAGTACTTAAAAATACTCTTTTGCATTTTATTGCTCACAATACTTATCTGTTTATGTTTTGGTTTTCTGTTCATTTTCACAATCTCCCTTACAGCATAAATACATTGATTTGCTTATAAAACATAATCCAAATTGCATTTTGTAGCATTTACCCAGGTGCACAAATGAACCGGCAAAACTGTAGGAAAACACTTAACCAAATATGATGAGACTAAAAAGATCTACTGTTTTGCCACTCTGTTTTCTGCTGATTTTAGGAATAGTGTAAAACCATTAACAAACACAACACACACATCCTCGGGGTGTCCTATAAACACTATAATTAAGGCAAAACCCAGAAGACATATACCTTTTCTCTCCATTGCTGAGACCAGAAGGCAGCTGAAGGTAGAGGTAGAGTTTCTCTAGGTCTGTAAACTTCTCAACTTCTTGCTGATTGCAAAGGATTAAAAAGAAAGATAATTTTAAGAACACTGGTTTCTCCCTCAATAAAACTTACTCCCTAAAAAATACTGACTGTCTAAATTTATACGCCATGGAATGGACAACCTGCCAAAGAAAACAAAATTTAGGCTTTTTTCTCATCAGTAAAATAATATAGTTGTTTGATAAATTTATTGCAAATAAAATGTTAGTTAACAAGCAAAAATGGTCCTTTCCTATTAATTCTTATCTTCTAGGTATAAATAAAACCATAGATCAATGCTTAGACAGAAGTTTCTCATTTTTCACGACCTTTAAAGAAGGGGACTGTACAGTACCATAGGAAAGGTACGAGACTAGGAGTCAAGAGAATATTACTTAGTCTTAACCTAACCATTTAACTGGCTATGAGGCTTTGGTGCTCTGGCAAATTTTCCTTGTAATTGTTAAGATGGATAACATGATTTCTAGGATCCTTTTCTAATGCTCAAAAACCTAGAACATGTGACTGACAATGCTATTATCACCTGTGGATGGAACTGAAGTTTAAAAAACTGAAGTACAACCAATCAACACTCTTTCTACACTATGCAGATATAATTATTATTTAACTTGCAACAGTGGCTACTATTTGGAGAACCTACTTGCAACATTCTCTATTGCTATTTTTCTGCACTTATGTCATTTCGTCTATAAATGCACCCTTAAAAATAATTTCTGCTGGTTGCAGGTTCCAGATTAAGATGGCGATGACAACCGAGGAAGATCCTGAACTCACTTCCTCCCACAGACATACTGAGTCTACAGCTATATATGGAACAATTTCCTCTTAAAAAACCCTAAAGTCTGTCTGAGTGATGACTACACATCGGGTAAACAAGGAGAAAACCATATCAGAGCAAATAGGAGAGGCTGGGAGACAAACTCGCCATAAACCCCACCCCCAATACCGGTGATCCACAACTAGGAGGGAACTCAGAACCTGGAACTTCTTGCTGAGGAGCAAAGGTTCAAACCCCACGTGTGGGACTCCAACTTTTAAGACATGCACTTGAGAGAAATCGCCCAAAACATCTAATTTAAAAAACCAGTGGGGTCCCAAGACCCACAAGATAGTAGAGATCTGGGAGACACCTCTTAAAGGGCCTGTGTGCTCAGACTCACTGGCCCAGGGCCCAGCTCAGAGGAACCTCATCATGCCCAGACTTAAAGTGAAGGAGGCTCACCTGCTTATATTAAAACCTCACCCTGAGGGGGAGGCATCTAATGCAACAGACACACACACACATCTAGAAGCCTGCTGGAACACTTTCTAGGGCCAGACTGGCGGGCGCTATGTTTGCACTCTCCCTTTGCCATGCTCCAGAGCACCATTATCTCCCTGAAGAAAGTCCTTACACGTGTTTGGTGCCCTGATTTTTGTGGCTGCCACCCAAAGGATGCCTCTTGATCACCTGGCAGTGAAGGCCAGGGGAGCTTATATTCCTGGTCAGGCGGGACTCTAATAACCAGTGTCACCAAGAAAGCTCATACCCAACTGGCACCCTGATTTTTGTGACTGCTGCCAGAGGACACATCTGTATCATCTGGCTATGGTGGCAAGTGGAGCTTTTGCTCATGGGTCCAACAGGATTGTAACCAATGAATAAAAGAGTTCTTAAACAGCTATCACTCCCAGGGCAAGGCAAGAGGCAACAGACGCAGAGCTTCGTCTTTCTGTGAAGGAGGCCTTTCAGGTAATCATCATAACTGTGGCCTGAGGAGTAGGCTTCTAATTAAATGCACATCTAGGGGCCGACTGTAATCTTTTCCAGAGACCTGGGAGGGCAGGTGCTATCTTTGTACTCACCTTCTGCCATGCTCCAGAGTCCCAGTGTCTCCTGGAGGGGAGCTTTACAAGTGTCTAGTAGCAGGTTTTACAGCTGTTGCCCAGGGGATGCCCCTTGACTGCCTGGCTCTTGGGCCAGAGGGGCTTGCAGTCCTGTGTTTATTGGTAGACTAGCACCCCCAGGGCACTGCAGAGACAGCAGACTGAGGCACCCCGCCCTACCCCCCCGCCCCCACCCCGTCTTTCTGTGAAGGAGGCCACTTTGCTTGTCCTGGAGCTTCGGACTGAGGGGCAGGCTTCAGATCTGGCACACATTTAGTGGCCTATGGAGCTGCTCTAAAGGAATGTAGGCTGTGGATGCCAACATGGCACTCTCCCTCTACCTTGCTCCAGCTCACCAGCGTCTCCCAGAAAGGAGTTTATACACTCATCTGGGGCCTGATTTTTGCAACTGCTGCCCAAGGGACACTTCCAGACCACCTGGCTCTAGTGGCCAGTGGGGCATATGCTTTCAGTGCCTCAGGACTGTATATATCTGTATACTTTTAAAAGCTGCTGCCTGAGAGTCTGGCTTCAAGCAAACCTGAATCTAAGTGCTAAGATACTCCCCTTTGGGACAGTGACAGGTCTTGGCACATCTTCAACTACTAGGAGATATTAAAAAACAGATTAGGCTGCTGGGACAAGCACAGAAACTTGAGAGACAACCAAAAGCTGGGGCAGGGCTGAATAAAAAGGTTCATCTCTTACACAAGGCCACTCCTTCAAGACTAGGAGAGGTGGTTGTTTCATCTATTGTATAGAAACCAACACAGACAGCCAAGGGAAATAAAGAAACAAAGGAATATGTTCCAAATGAAAGAATAGGATAAAACTTCAGGAAAAAAAACTTTAATGAAACAGAAATAAGTAATTTATCTGATAGAGTTCAAAGTAATGATCATAAACATGCTCACTAAACAGGAGAGAAGACTGGATGAACACAATGAGAATGTCAACAAAGAGACGGAAACATAAGAAAACACCAAATCAAAGTCACAGAGTTGAAGAATACAATAACTGAACTGAAAAATACACTACAGGGGTTCAACAAGCTGGATGAGGCAGAAGAAAGGATCAGTGAACTTGAAGACAAGACAGTGGAACTCAACCAATCAGAGCAGCAAAAAGAAAAAGAATGGAAAAAAGTGAAAATACCTTCAGGGAATTATGGGACAACATCAAACGGACTAACATTTGAATCACAGGGCTCTCAGAAGGATGAGAGAGAGAGAAAGGGGCAGGAACTGTATTCGAAGAAACAATGGCTGAAATTTCTCTAACTTGGGGAAGGAAACAGACATTTAGATCCAGGAAGCCCAGAGAGTCCAAAAAAAAGATGAGTCCAAAGAGACCCATACCAAGACACATTATAAGTAAAAGGTCAAAAGTTAAAGACAAGGAGAGAATTTTAAAAGCACCAAGAGAAAAACAACTTGTTACATACAAGAGAATCCTCATAAGACTATCAGCAGATTTTTTAGCACAAACCTTACAGGCCAGAGGGAGTGGCACAACATATTCAAAGTGCTGAAAGAAAAAACTTCCAACTCTACCTGGCAAAGTTATTCAGAACTGAATGTGAGATAAAGGGTTTTCCAGAAAATCAAAAGCTAAAGGAGCTCATCACCACTAAACCTGTCTTCTAAGTAATGTTAAAGGGACTCCTTAAGCTGAAAAGAAAGGGTGCTAATTAGTAATAAAAACACATATGAAAGAATCAATCTCACTGGAAAAGTAAATAGACAGTAAAGGTAGTGGAATAATTACTTAGAAAGCTAGTATGAAGGTTAAAAGACAAAAGTAGTAGAAATAACTACAGTTACAATAATTAGTTCAGGGATACATAAGATAAAAAAGTGTAAAATGTGAAGTCAAAAATATAAAATACGGGGGGAGAGTAAAAATGTTGAACTTTAAAATGGCATCAAACTTAAGTTATTATCAACTTAAAATAAGACTGTTATAAGTTATTATATGCAAGCCTCATGGTAGCCACAAAGCAAAAACCTATACTAAATACACAAAAGATATAGAGAAAGGAATATAAGTATACCACTAAAGAAAGTCACCAAATCACAAAGGAAGAGCAAGAGAAAAAGAAAGGAACAGAGAGGACTACAAAAACAGCTAGAAAACAGTTAACAAAATGGCAATAAGTACATACCTATCAATAATAACTTTAAATGTAAGTGAACTAAATTCTCCAATCAAAAGACAAAGAGTGGCTGAATGGAGGAAAAATCATGATCCATCTATATGCTGCCTACAAAGAGGTATACTTCAAGTGTAAGGACACACACAGACCAAAAATGAACAGATGGAAAAAGATATTCCATGCAAATGGAAACCAAAAGAAAGCTGGAGTAGCTATACTTATATCAGACAAGATAGACTTTAAAACAAAGACTGTAACAACAGACAAAGAAAGGTGTTACATAATGATAAAGGGGATAATCCAACAAGATATAACATTTGTAAATATTTATGCACCCATAGGAGCACCTAAATATAAAAAGCAAACATTAACAGACCTAAAGGGAGAAAGAGATAGCAACACAATAATAGTAGGAGACTTTAATACCTTACTTACATCAATGAATAGATCACTCAGACAGAAAATCAACATGAAAACATCAGCCTTAAATGATATGCTAGACCAGATGGACTTACCAAATATTTACAGAACATTCCATCTAAAACCAACGGAATATACATTCTTCTCAAGTGCATACAGAACATTTTTGAAGATGGATCATATGTTAGGCCACAAAACAAGTCTTAATAAGTTTAAGAGGACTGACTTATATCAAGCATCTTTTCCAACCACAAAGGTATGAAACTAAAAATTAATTATCCAATAACACTGGAAAATTCACAAATATGTGGAGATTAAACAGCATGCTACTGAACAACCAATGCATCAAAGAAATAAAAAAATACCTTGAGACAAACAAAAATAGAAATGTAACATACCAAAACTTATAGGATGGAGCAAAAGCAGTTCTAAGAGGGCAGTTCCAAGTGATAAATGCTTACCTCAAGAAACAAGAAAAATCTCAAATAAACCACCTAACGTTACAACTCAAGGGACTCAAAAAAAAAGGAACAAACAAAGACCAAAGTTGGTAGAAGGAATAAA